AGGTACATGTGGCTATGACATAACTATTCTACTTAAAAGATTTGGACAGTGCTGAGGGAAACGTCAGTGACACAGAAGTGTAGGCATTCCTTCAGCCAGGTCAAGGGGAGGGCTTCTTGCATGCCACATGAATATTCATCAATTATTATTGTTTCGTTCTTCCTTAGTCAAACCAGAGAATGTCCAGTTAAATAGTTCAGCCGTGAATAAGAAAGCGTGTAAGGGAAAAGTCATCACCTTTAACTGCTCGGCTGATGCATATCCAGCAGTGACATCATACCAGCTGTTTGAGAACGAAACTGCCATTTTCAACACAAGTGTTGCAGGAATGTGGAGCAAAACTTTAGAAAATGAAGGAGTTTTTGTCTATAAATGTGTGGCCAACAACTCTCTTGGATCAGGAAACAGCAGTAGTGTTGCTATCACTGTGAATGGTAAACAAAATAGCCTAAATTTTGCTTTTAAAAAACAATTTTATTAACTGAACGTGCAAATAGTGGAGTAATCTGTAATAAATAAATACATCACTTACAAATAACATAGCGCGTATGCTTGCCCTATGTACATGTAAGTCCTATTGAGCCGCTATGAACAAAATCGTTATTTACGCACGCCCGTGCGTAAATAAGATGACGTGAGTAGCTTTTTACTCTTACGTATTTTTCGTGCTCTCCAAACTTCCCGCGTGCATCCATAACTCGATATACCCGCGCTAAGCATGAACAAATTCTTAATTTTCATGAGTGTTCTTTCAAGTACACTCAATTGCAAAAACTTTGTCACTGAAAAGCATGAACGATGAGACGGTTTATGGGAAATGTTCGCTTAGTTGCATTCCATAATTTATGCATATTTCATCTTATTTAGAGAAGCCATTCAAATTGAAGAGAATTCTATGTACATGTATGTTAAGAATAGAATGACGTTTGGCTGCAAGCCAGTGAACAGCTCCTATTTAAACCCTTCGTCATTTTTACTCTCCATTAATTTTTACAGTTCCTTCTTCAATTATCCAAATAACACAAGATCAGAATGTAACTGAGGGTGTCAATGTGACTCTTGCGTGTAATGTATCTGGAGTGCCTCCACCAATAGTGTCCTGGATAAAACCTAATGGTGATCGTCATGTTGGATACCTGTTGGAGGTTACAAACATTAGCAGGAATGAAGCTGGTGAATACAAATGTGAAGCCAGTAATGAGTGTGGCAATGCAACAGAGATGGCAGAGATTGGTGTGCTTTGTAAGTGTATCATTGTCTTCACTAAAGGTAGCTTTTATTACATGTATGATGTACACATGCCTAATTTGTATCAATGGGAATGAAGGTAAGGGTAATTTTTTAAAGAGATTAATGTATATAATTCGTAATAATTTCAGACAGCAAAAGGTCAGAGCAAAGTAATCACTTCATTTCTAAGATTTTCATCATATCATACTCGGCCATCCACTAATCTTTCTTTTATTTTTACATTGACATTTTTTAACACTCAGTGCTATAGATCATACAGAACTGTTAACTATATGTTTCTGCTCCCTCATCTCTTTACATTCCCATGTAAATTTTTGTATGAAATTAAAAAAAAAGTTGATTGCAGTAAGCTTCTACCATCTGCAGTATTTGACACAGTTTTCCTGTAATTCTCTCAGATAAACCAGAGAATGTGCAATTCACAACTTCTGCCATGGATAAAAAAGCATGTAGGAATAACATGATTAGCTTTAACTGCTCAGCTGATGCTAATCCATCGGTGACATCATACCAGCTGTTTGAGAATGACACTATCTTAGACACAAACCCTTCAGGAATGTTTAAAAGGAACGTGTCAATGGGCGGAGTGTTCATGTACAAATGTGTGGCCAACAACCCTCTAGGATCGAAATTCAGTTCATCCCTCATGGTCACCGTGAATGGTAAGCTTAACTGTACCTACTGACGCTGTAAAACTGTTGTTCTTGCATTCACTCACTAATTTGCATCATTGGCTTAGTTGTTTAGCATATTGGAACAAATTATTTTATACGTATGATGGACGATCCTCGCAGTAGATAGCGCTATTTGAGCAATAGCGAAATTCAGACCTGAAAAAAATCAGGCCTGTACGGGACTCGAACCACTGACCTCTGCGATACTAGTGCAGCGCTCTAACCAATTGAGCTAACAAGCCAACTGAGAGCAGGCCGTTAAGTTGATTCGTAATGAACCCGTGAAAGTGATAAATGAGATAGAATAAATATATGAAAATCATATATTTTGAACTGCGGTATTTGATACGTATGATGGACGATCCTCGCAGTAGATAGCGCTATTTGAGCAATAGCGAAATTCAGACCTGAAAAAAATCAGGCCTGTACGGGACTCGAACCACTGACCTCTGCGATACTAGTGCAGCGCTCTAACCAATTGAGCTAACAAGCCAACTGAGAGCAGGCCGTTAAGTTGATTCGTAATGAACCCGTGAAAGTGATAAATGAGATAGAATAAATATATGAAAATCATATATTTTGAACTGCGGTATTTGATACGTATGATGGACGATCCTCGCAGTAGATAGCGCTATTTGAGCAATAGCGAAATTCAGACCTGAAAAAAATCAGGCCTGTACGGGACTCGAACCACTGACCTCTGCGATACTAGTGCAGCGCTCTAACCAATTGAGCTAACAAGCCAACTGAGAGCAGGCCGTTAAGTTGATTCGTAATGAACCCGTGAAAGTGATAAATGAGATAGAATAAATATATGAAAATCATATATTTTGAACTGCGGTATTTGATACGTATGATGGACGATCCTCGCAGTAGATAGCGCTATTTGAGCAATAGCGAAATTCAGACCTGAAAAAAATCAGGCCTGTACGGGACACTGACCTCTGACCTCTGACCTCGAACCACTGACCTCTCGAACCACTGACCGTCCATCATACGTATTATAGCTCATCTTGGACAAAGTAAAACGATAACCGTAAGAGAACTCCAAGCATTGAGAGAAATAGGAAGTGGGATAGAAAAGAAAAAGACGTTATTGAGGATGATTGCAGATAAAGGACCAGAGGTGTATGAAGAGTTCGTTAAAGCCTTGGAGAAAGATAAATGCTCTGTCGCTTATTGTCTTGTCAAAGAAGGTAGGTTGGGTTTTTTTTTTTTTTTAATACACTTTTCAAAATCAGATCAGAGCACTTTGCAAAGTCAGATGTTTCCCTTGTAGACAAACGTAACGGCGGTAAAAGTCAAATTCTTCAGAGATCACCTAAAAGATATGGTATCATCTGATTCTCTTCCCAACTAAGGCAACGCATTCCGTAGTCCGCAGAGTGAAAATGCAAAGTATCTACTCGATCCATTATTTCGGGGTGAAAGAAGGGAGTTCCAGTACTTAACGGCCTGCTCTCAGTTGGCTTGTTAGCTCAATTGGTTAGAGCGCTGCACTAGTATCGCAGAGGTCAGTGGTTCGAGTCCCGTACAGGCCTGATTTTTTTCAGGTCTGAATTTCGCTATTGCTCAAATAGCGCTATCTACTGCGAGGATCGTCCATCATACGTATCAAATACCGCAGTTCAAAATATATGATTTTCATATATTTATTCTATCTCATTTATCACTTTCACGGGTTCATTACGAATCAACTTAACGGCCTGCTCTCAGTTGGCTTGTTAGCTCAATTGGTTAGAGCGCTGCACTAGTATCGCAGAGGTCAGTGGTTCGAGTCCCGTACAGGCCTGATTTTTTTCAGGTCTGAATTTCGCTATTGCTCAAATAGCGCTATCTACTGCGAGGATCGTCCATCATACGTATCAAATACCGCAGTTCAAAATATATGATTTTCATATATTTATTCTATCTCATTTATCACTTTCACGGGTTCATTACGAATCAACTTAACGGCCTGCTCTCAGTTGGCTTGTTAGCTCAATTGGTTAGAGCGCTGCACTAGTATCGCAGAGGTCAGTGGTTCGAGTCCCGTACAGGCCTGATTTTTTTCAGGTCTGAATTTCGCTATTGCTCAAATAGCGCTATCTACTGCGAGGATCGTCCATCATACGTATCAAATACCGCAGTTCAAAATATATGATTTTCATATATTTATTCTATCTCATTTATCACTTTCACGGGTTCATTACGAATCAACTTAACGGCCTGCTCTCAGTTGGCTTGTTAGCTCAATTGGTTAGAGCGCTGCACTAGTATCGCAGAGGTCAGTGGTTCGAGTCCCGTACAGGCCTGATTTTTTTCAGGTCTGAATTTCGCTATTGCTCAAATAGCGCTATCTACTGCGAGGATCGTCCATCATACGTATCAAATACCGCAGTTCAAAATATATGATTTTCATATATTTATTCTATCTCATTTATCACTTTCACGGGTTCATTACGAATCAACTTAACGGCCTGCTCTCAGTTGGCTTGTTAGCTCAATTGGTTAGAGCGCTGCACTAGTATCGCAGAGGTCAGTGGTTCGAGTCCCGTACAGGCCTGATTTTTTTCAGGTCTGAATTTCGCTATTGCTCAAATAGCGCTATCTACTGCGAGGATCGTCCATCATACGTATCAAATACCGCAGTTCAAAATATATGATTTTCATATATTTATTCTATCTCATTTATCACTTTCACGGGTTCATTACGAATCAACTTAACGGCCTGCTCTCAGTTGGCTTGTTAGCTCAATTGGTTAGAGCGCTGCACTAGTATCGCAGAGGTCAGTGGTTCGAGTCCCGTACAGGCCTGATTTTTTTCAGGTCTGAATTTCGCTATTGCTCAAATAGCGCTATCTACTGCGAGGATCGTCCATCATACGTATCAAATACCGCAGTTCAAAATATATGATTTTCATATATTTATTCTATCTCAAATTATTTTATATTTAGACTCAAGGCATGTAAAGGGTACAGTGGGAAAAGGGCTTTTAAAAATGTTGGTAATAGCGTTTCAGCTTTGCCTTTGTGCTTGTCAGATGATTTCGGTACAAATTCCAAAAAAAACCATTTCTATTTTAGTGATTCATATATTCGTACATTCACTTTCACTATGGTTACTAGAGTCACCTAATCAAACGAGCAACCGAAAAAAGCTGACTCTAATGAGATACTTTTCATTCCCATTAGCTGCTTTGGGCTGAAAAAGGCAAAAACGACGAATACTTGGAATGCAATCATTGAACTAGTTTGTTACACTTGACCCTCGGGGCGGGGATTGTACATGTGGTTAAGATATCGGTGTATTTTTGCTTTAAAATGTGGTGTATGCACATTAACGCCATAGCATTTTTGGCACTTTTTAAAAAAAGTTATTGTATTACTTTTTATTTTTGTTTTTATAATTCTCTATTCAATTAAGAAAATATATAATTTTTACTTTTATTTCAAACGAACTACACAGCCCATTGGCGCCATAGCAAATAAAATAAATTTAAAAAAAAAAAAAAAAACGCTTCGTGGCCCATTGGTGCCATAGACCATAAACCTTTTCGGCCTCACTCTAATCCATCATGGCGTCTCGTACAAGAAACACTAACTACTAAATACAGGAATGTCTCCGACCTGTAATTGGATGATGAAAATAGTGAAATTTAATAAGTTACATCTTAACTCCTTGCTTGTGAGTATTGTTTAACCGTGTGTCTCGAAGCAGAAGAGTGAAATATCAATGCGAGTGAAAACACTGATGTGTTAATCAAGAAATGGTTACTCACCTAACGAAGAGAAGGCAGAGCCTTCCTTGTTCAGCGAGGTCGTTCAGCGATATGCCGGCGATGACTAACTCAACTGCTTACTAGTTTCGCTGAACAAACTCATTTAGTTGGCTCAGGCTCAGTTCAGGGGGACGAAGATCGGAGACTGGAGCCATTCCTGTATTTCACCGCTGACAGGAATGGCTCCGACTCATGTGTTTGTTAATTCTTTTTTGTTTGTTTTGGCTAAATAATTTATAAACTGAGATCAATTTTGAAAGTGTTTTTTATTAGGTTCTCCTTAAGTTGAACATTTTAATGCTTACAAATGAAGCCTTCTAAAATTAACACAGGGCTATGTAGTGTCAAAATTAAAATACACGTTTCGAAAATCACGCAGTTTTACATGACGCTGCGACCGATATTTTCAATTTACAGTATGCTCGGCCGGAGGACCTTTTTTCGTTTTGGCTAAATGATTTATTCACTAAGATAAAAACTGAACGAGTGCTCTTCCCTTGTTGAACGCTTAGTAATTTATACACTGAGTTAAAAACTGAAAGAGCGCTCTTCCTATTTTGAACTCCACGCTGCTTGTAATTGAAGCCCTCTTTTATTAATACAGGGCCATGAACTTTTTGTAATAATGTCGATCTATCATATGACCAGTACGACCACCCGGGCGCTTTATCGAAACAATTCTAAGAAAATTCCCGTGTGAGGGCCTGAGTGATGCGAAAGTAGAAAGAAAGAAAAAGACAGTGTGACAATAAATTTTTATTGATTGAGTAAGGTTGGGCCGTACTGGAAAATAAATGGCTCTCAGTCGTGACGCAAGGACCTCTCTGCGCTCCGTTGGTATTTTACTGTCCGGCCATCCCATTCAGTCAATAAGTGCATACTCTTTTTGCAGCAACTGCATGTCACATTTGCAACCTCACGCGGTACCTTTCCAGTGTGGCGTGACCTCAGTTTTTTTCCCGGCACGACTTCAACTTTCTGGATGCCAATAACATTGCGTGATCTTCGAAACGTGACATGTAGATGCAGCATTAATTTAAAACTTAGACACTACATGGCCCTGTAATAAATTAAGGAGGCTTCATTTACAAGCATTGTAACGTTCAACTTAAGAAGAAACTAATAAAAGACACTTTCAATTTTATCTCAGTTTGTAAATTATTTTACCAGAAGAAAAAAAATAAAATAAACGCATGAGTCGGAGCCGTTGCTGTCAGCGGTGAAATACAGGAATGGCTCCAGTCTGTTCATCCCCCCGAACTGAGCCTGAACCGACCAAATGAGTTTAGTCAGCGAAACTAGTCAGCGGATGACTTAGTCATCGCCGGAATATCGCTGAACGAGAAAGGCTCTACCTTTCCTTCGCTATGTAAGTAACCATTTCTTTTCTGACACGTCGGTGTTTTCACTCGCGTTGATATTTCATTGTTCCGCCTCGAGACACACTGTTTAACAATACTCACAAGCAAGGGGTTAAGATGTAACTTATTAAATTTTACTATTTTTATCATCCAATTACAGGTCGGAGCCATTCATTTATTTAGTCGCTAGTGTTTCTTGTACGAGACGCCATGATAAATTAGTGTGAGGCCGAAAAGGTTTATGGTCTATGGCGTCAATGGGCCATAAAGCGTTTTTATTCTTTTTTTTTTTTTTTTTTCTTTTTTGCTATGGCGTCAATGGGCTGTGTAGTTCGTTTGAAATAAAAATAAAGATGATATATTTTGTTAATTGAATAGAGAATTAAAAAAATAATGAATATAAAAATGAAAAGTAATACAATGATTTTTTAAAAGAGTGCCAAAAAATGCTATAGCGTTAATGAGCCACCATAGTGGTGGATTAGTGTGATACTTACAAAAATATTCATGTGCTGATAAGATGTTTTCATTTTTGTAGCCTTTAATTTTGTGTTTGTCCACAGTGCCTTCAACTATCAAAACAATTCAAGATAAGAATGTAACTGAAGGTGAAAATGCAACACTGACATGTACTGCATTTGGAATGCCTCAACCAAGTGTGTCTTGGATTAAGCTCAATGATCAAAATGTTGCAAAAAATGTGTTAGAGTTTGTGAACATTAGCAGGAATGAAGCTGGTAAATACAAATGTGAAGCCAGTAATGAGTGTGGCAATGCAACAGAGATGGCAACAATTGATGTAAATTGTAAGTAATTACCTGTAGGGGGAATCTATAAATATTGCATACATGTCAGTATTCAAGTGATTGTGGTATACTTTTATTTTAGAGAAACCAGAGAATGTGCAATTGAAAACTTCTGTGGTGGACAGCAAAGCATGTTTTCACTACGTGCTCTGATTGGCTAATGATAAAGTTAACTTTCTTATCGGTGATACTATCACCTTAAAATGCTCAGCTGATGTTAAGCTAGCAGTGACATCATACATGTCAATATTTTAAATTTCAACTCAATTAGTGACAATGGGCTTTGTTATAACCCACTTGGCAATGCACAGTACTTGTCCTTGATGTGTGTGGTGAGATGTAAAGTAAGGTAAATAATGTACATAAGGCGTCGTGGAAACCCAATTTGTAAGCAGTTTGGATTAATGGACGTTTAAAATAGTGATTGTGATACACTTTTCTTTTAGACCAACCAGAGAATATGAAATTCAGAACTTCTGTGATGAAAAGCAAAGTATGTCAAGGTGATACTATCACCTTCAACTGCTCAGCTGATGCTAAGCCAGCAGTGACGTCATACCAGCTGCTTGAGAATGGCAATGTCAAGAACCACAACCTTTCAGGAATGTGGAAGGAGACATTGGAAAGTGGAGGAGTGTTTGTTTACAAATGTGTGGCTAACAATACTGTGGGATCAGCAGATAGTGTGGATGTTACGTTTACTGTGAATGGTAAGCCTTGATCTTTTTACTTTGCTATGTTAATAATGTAGGATTGAATTATATGGTTTTATCCAGTGTGTACGAGTACTGTTTAATATGACTCCTCGCATCACTTTTGAGAAAAGGCATAACTTACAACTGTCTTTGTCAACAGTTTCATTTTAACTCACACTAAACCACTTTAATAATGATAATGGATTAGAAATAATAATTTTTTCCTAATGATAAACCAACTGTGATGCGAATCGCGACATTTTGAGTGTGTACTGCCAACTTTATTTAAGGGTTGAGTTTGTCTATATTCACAATTATTCACCTTATCGGCTGTAATGATGTTTGCCAGGCAGAGGTCTAGCAACAAACCCTTTTATTTGCGATTTTCCGTTTCAATTGTTGGGAGAAACAAATCGAAAATCGAGAGTTATCACCAGAATTAGCCCATCTGCTAGCTGGCAGACAAACGCGTACTTTCGTTTATCGTTTTTTACAGTGCCTTCGTCCATACAACAAATACACAACAAGACAGTGACTGAAGGTCATAATGTGACTTTGATGTGTAACGTATCTGGAATGCCTCCACCAACGGTGTCTTGGCTGAAACCTAATGGTCAGCTTCATAGTGGATATATGTTGGAGTTTGTGAACATTAGCAGGAATGAAGCCGGTGAATACAAATGTGAAGCCAGTAATGAGTGTGGTAATGCAACAGAGATGGCAACAATTGATGTGCAGTGTAAGTTTGTTGATGTTGAATGCATTTATTGTCATTTCTTTGAACTTGAGATCTTAACTGGCGAACCTCCACGTTAGCGGTTCTAAAGTCCGACAGTGTTTTATCAGAATTTGAAATGAAATAAAAATGCTTGCATTTTTAATGAATTTTTCGTGATTTGTACCTCAAAAGATCCATCAAGAATTACAAACATTTCTGGTGAGCAGATTGTAAACAATGGTGACGTGGTGAGTTTGTTCTGTATGGCAGAAGGTAATCCAGTACCAACTATAACTTGGACAAAAGTCGGCGATAGCAGTCCAGTGAACTTCCCTTTGACCATCAGTGGTAACCAGGATGAAGGACTGTACAGATGTACTGCTGAGAATGGTGTTGGAAGCTCTGTGACCAGTGATGTCAACATGACAGTACATTGTAAGTGAAGTAGTTATGTCTGTCATGATTGTATTTTGTTTGCTCACAAGCTCTTAGATAACACTGACCTACAGTAAGGATACAATTCACGAAGGTGTAGTGTTTGTTCAGACTGATACCTTAAATAGAGCAATTTCAATTGAGTGTCGACAGCACATTGGAATTGGTTTGGTTTTACTGAACTCAGCTCTCTGATTGGTCCAGAAAACTCGCGCATCCTCTCCACCAATCAGATATAAAACTAAAACAATTGCGACTTGGTCACGCCTGCTTGTTGTCACTACGTGCTCTGATTGGCTAATGATAATGTTAACTTTCTTATTGGTCGCTATAATTGTTTTTGTTTTGGGTTTTTCGACACTCACTTGAAAACTTCTCTTAAGTAACCAAGTTACCAAGTCCTTTGATGCTTGTTATGAGGTTCGTTTAACTTCTTCGTTTAGAGATTATTTTATGTACATGCATGGTTTTTGGTAGGATTCTAGTAAGTATCATTTTTTCATGTATGTGTGTCGGTACGTTTATGTCGCGAAATTGTGTTAGTAAGTGAAGTCGCCACTTAACCAGTGTACAAATGCAAATCCTAAGCTTATCTAACGGGTAAATCCTCACTTGTACAGTGCTTAGCACAGGCTGTGAGAACTAGTCTAATAATTTCTTTTCGCACGCATGTTGGTTGAGTCTGGTATGATTTTACGCTATGACCGCCTTTTTTAACCAGAGTCCTGCTACCTTTGAATCTTTGTGATGTGTCTTATAGTTCCTGCCTCAATTGTGGCCATCGGAAATCACACTGTAGTAAAGGGTGAAACTATCGTACTTTATTGTAATGTGTCTGGAACACCGCCACCTACTGTGTTATGGACTCATATAGAGTCAGGCAAAACATGGAACCGCAAGGAATGGACAATCGAAGGTATCCAAGTAGGGAACCTTGGAGAATACAGGTGTAATGCCAGCAACAAATATGGAGGAGATATCAAAAGTACCTTAATCCTTTATGAAGGTGAGTCAAGTTTATGCGGGAAATGCATCTGTTACAGAATGTAAAGAGCTTTATTACTGGGTTACCAGTAAATGCATGTTTGATATGAAATTATTTGGTATCTGATTAGGTCCAAACTAGGCATGGGGAATGCTGGTCCCTGAGTTCAACATATTTGCGATTTTATCACAGTTCTAGAAAACTTAGAAACATTTAAGGTTCTTCCAAAACTCTATCAAAATTTCAAAATCAAATTTCAACTCTAAACTGCTTCTTAAACTGAAAACAAGTTATTTGTCTCTGTTTTTTTGTTTTTAGATTTTTTGTTGTTTTTTTTTATTGAATGAATTTAAGCATCTTTTTCTCCGCTTTGTTTGTTGTAAAATGTAAATCTTTCTTTATTTGCAACTGTCATTCTTTACAGGTGGTTTTTGTGAGGAACCATGCCCTACTAGACAATTGTGTCGTAAGTTTGGAAAAACATACGTCTGTAGCTGCCGCGACGGAGAGAAAGGACCAGACTGTAAGGAAAAAGGTTCGAACAAATTTTTAATTTGTAGCAAAAACAAAGTAATTCCCTTTGCATTTGATTAATTTTGCCTTCTTTCCCAACCTTATATTAAGTGCGCCTACAGTTTTCTCCATTTGAGGCAATATTTGTTTTACAAGCTGCTGTACACATGCATTTACTAACTCCTGATATGAAGTTCATTGTTTTAGCAACTTCTATATACCTGATATAGGCCACATACACATAGACAAATTGAGTGATCATTCAAACATTGTGGTGGTCTCTAATGACTCAGCCTTTAAGATTCCAGAGCACAGAACATAGATTAAGCCAAGCACGGCACACGCATTGAAACTTGATGCTTTTCTCTAATGAATCAGCCTTTAACCTTCCAGAGAATGGACCTACATTTATACATGCGCACGAACATATAAATTTTGTACATTTAGGTGTTTTACGACTTCATACGCAATGGAAAACCGAATTGCCTTTCTGCTTAAGTTTGCGTAAGAGGCGATATTCGGTTGCGTGGATAAGCAAATGTTTGATTTGTCTGCTGCGCAAAGGTACATCTAGTTTTGCAATAAACTGGAAATGTGGGATGTTTTATCTGTTATTGACACCTGCAATTTTTTGGGACACTGAAGGTTGTAAAGTCCATATAGTTTCGCTTTATGTAATATTAGTATTTCTTTTACTCCTAACAGAGGAACCAAAGAAAACTTTTGAGGTGGGACTTAAAATAAAAAGAGAGTTTAAACAAGAATACGAGGACTTGGAAAATCCAGAAACAAAATCGCTTGTCAAGGAGATAAAAGAAAATGTGAGTGCTATGGTAACATGTACTTGATGACTGAGTGGAAGGGCCGGACGGGAAAAGTATTTGGCACCAGGATCTTTTTTTTGCGTTTTTATGGACCAAGACGAAGTCGAGGCCCATAAAAACGCAGAAAAAAAGGACGCTTATATCCAGCCATCGTTAAATAGCAAGCTTGGTTATTTTAACAAATCGGCAATGGTTTAGCGTGCTCTGTACTCCTATCGACAAAGATACTCGTCCTCACAGTGGTCAAAATGTTGTGGACTCGCCCGGCTGCGCCTCGTGAATCTGCAACAAATTGACGCTAGAGTGGGGCTTAAATTTATCCTTGTCAGTACCCTAGTACATAAGGAACAGTATGGAGAATAGGTTTGTTAACGTAAGGGTAGCGGTGTGAAGAGTTTAAGAAATCTCTAAGTCGATTGATTTTTTTTTCAGCCACCCTCACCCACTCCCTCTCCCCTTCCCTCCCCCACTTCCTCTCCCCTCTCCTCCCCCACTTATGCAGTATTTCTCTTTTTCCTAGCACAAAGCTCATCACAGCTAAAACACATATAGTTTTTTAAGTAATTTTTTCACTTAAAGCAAAAGCAGGAAACGAAGTATCAACGCATTGTACAATCATGAATGTGCACGAGTCATGTATGAGTCATGAGTCATGTATTTGTTTTATTATATATATATATATATATATGTATGTATATATGTACGTATATATATATGTATGTATGTATGTATGTATGTACATGTATGTATGTATGTATGTATGTATGTATGTATGTATGTATGTATGTATGTATGTATGTATGTATGTATATATATATATAAATTAATTTTTTTTTCAGACGATGGTCGAATTCCAAGGAACTGGTCTCGCGAGTGTTAAGGTGCTGAAACTGAGGTAATAGGTTTTCAAACTTTGTGTACATTAAATCAGACACTTTCTAGTAAATTGTGTTTATTGATGCACAAGAAACGCCTAGGGGGCGAAGAATAATTCTGCTTACCTACACATCACACGGGGGTGTATGTCCGTAATGGACACAGAGAATGTTCTACCTAAGGTTGTGCTACAATTTGCGAGTTTGACGTTGCAACTTAATGTGAGCAACAGGGTTTTGTTACGAAACATAGTGAGTCATATATGTACTTTAGACGCCCAAAGCAATGAGCTGCACTGGGGAACAAACCTTAAAAACCTCTACAATTTATCAGCCACATCCTCGTGATTTCCATTGATTTTCGATTAAAATGAACTTCAAATTCGCGAGGAATCTTTTTAAAGAGATGTTTACGGCGTGACTCGTGCCATCATCAGGTTATCGTGTTCCTTTGACTCTATTTTCATACACGTTACGTTAATTCAACAATAATTTAAGAAAACACCCGCCGCGCAAATGTAAGACTTGGAATGTTCAGCTATTTTTTCTTTTTCTTTTTTTAAGTCGATCTACTTTACATCCAAGCATGCAGCTCTGGTTTCAAGCGGCCAATATACAATGCTTCCTTTAATTTTAGGCAATAAGTTGTTTTGGCTGAGTCTACAATCGCACTCAGCGAAACATTCTTACTAGCAACCAGGAAGAGTACCCAAGTGCTTGTTGATGGGTTTACGATTAAAGTGAAAATATCGACATTTGGGTATCGAAAGGATGGGAGGCAAAATTGGAAAGAGGAGGGCTACAATGTTTTATTGGGGAAGCCCAGGTTTAAATTGCAGCGCTTAAAGCATCTCGGCTACGGTGCTCCCACATAACTATTTATTTTGTCGTTTTCAACTAAAAATGTTTGATTTCTTGTTTATCTTGTAGGCCCGGAAGTATCATTGCTGACTTAGAACTAACATTTAATAAGTCTGTTGGTCAAAGTAGCGTAAATGCACTGCTGACGCAAGCAAGAAAGGATGGAAAACTTGGCAATATGGAAGTTGAAGATGCGGTCGTTGGAGGAACTTTCCCAGGTTAGCTCCTCTTTCTTGGTTAATTGTTGCTGTTTTGCAGAACGAAGCATTTGGCTTTGTTTATCTCCAATATCCGACACGCCAGATTTTGGGAGACTCAGTTGATGACTTTTTACTTTGAAAGCTAACTTTTTGAGTCGTTTTAAACTGAGTCAGAGTTTAATTAACCTTACCTTGGGCCGGCTTAACTGCATTTAGAATAAGTAGGTCAGGGGTTTCTGTTTCCCAAAGGACCTGTAATTATGAATGAAATGTGTCTGGGTGGTTACACATTTAAAACTGAATTGAAGGCGGGTTTTTTTGTAAGGTTGTATGTATCTTTGTTTTGGTCAGTTTTTCTTTTTATCACAGTCTTTTGTGATGCATGTACAAGTTGTGAAAATTACTTTCTGTATTCATACCAACATTTTTTTTACATTTTGTATTTTCGTTCAATTATTTACAAATCCGTGTATCAAACTTCAGATACATCCGAGAAAGACTGTGGAACGTTCTTTGAGGGAGAAGATTGTAAAAAAGGTAAAAATTGAAATGGAGTAAGTCAGTGAAACTCTTGAGTAGAATTTAGTGAAAGGGAGATGACTATTATATCTGGTGCTGAGTAACGAAAGACAAGTTTAGTGTGTAGATGTTCTACTGTTTAACGTAGATCTTACCTTATGTCTTAAATAAGATTCTTGCAAGAACCGTACAAGATCTTGTAAGATTCTCGTGTAAAGATTCTTACAAGAATCTGACCAGATCTTGTAAGATTATGGTAAGAATCTCATATAAGACGATGGAAGATTCTTGTAAGAATCTCATATAAGATGATGGAAGATTCTTGTAAGAATCTCATATAAGATGTTGGAAGATTCTTGTAACAATCTCCTATAAGATGTTGGAAGATTCTTGTAAGAATCTCATTATGATCTTGTAAGAATCTCTTATAAGATGATGGAAGATTCTTGTAAGAATCTCATATAAGATGTTGGAAGATTCTTTTAACAATCTCCTGTAAGATGTTAGAAGATTCTTGTAAGAATCTCGTTATGATCTTTCTGAGGACTTATATTATCTTACAAGAATCTTACAAGGTCTTCTAAGGTTCTTGTTGGAATCAAAGTCCATTCATCCAAAAATACTTTTTCAAATATTGTGATAACAAGGTCAAATGCTTGCAAGCTTATGATGCACTGTCTGTTTTTTGTGCCTTGTGTTCGCTGCAATGACATCTTGATATCATTAGTGATAAGGTATTCCTGGATGGTGGGTTGATAGGAGCGCACGCCTGTGGCTTGGGTTTGATTCTGGGGAAGTCTTAGTAGTTCCCACTTGCCAAACGGTGTCATTTTATTTGCTGTGTTTACGTTCAATATCAGGATAGATAAAAAGTGTGTTAATTCGAAAAAAAAAAAAAAATTCGGAAAGTTAAACGCAATGGAGCGGTTTTGTGCCAATACCCTCATTATTAATACACGAGTACTGATTTCGAAATGAAGTTGCGGTCCCAACGGGTTAACGAGACGATCGTAAAACTGGAACCAACGGTCACTTTTCGGAAGCGGTGGAAACGGTAACACGGTGAAAAAAACACCAACAACATCGAGCATTGCGACTCAAACACTCAAAACTAAGACTCGCACACGCAAAAATCGTACGCGTAACTTGCCTATGAAAAAGCTTACGAGGTGTCCAAGCGCGCGCGCTAATCAACTCGGTAACTGTCTTCCTAACAGTCACGTTCGTGTTTAAATTTTCGTTTGCTCTCATCGTGGATTCTGGCGAGAATACTTCCCCAAGCTCCTTATTTTCTTTCTTCAAATCCACAAGCCAAACTCCAAATTGATGTAGAAACAGGGAATGAGAGATGCTCCAATGTACATATCCACTCGCTATCAAGTCGAATCTAATCTTCACTTTATCACTTCTCTGCTGACATGATTAGTATGTGTAATCAAATGGCGACGAGTGAAATTAGGAAATAATTTCCCTTGCGTTTTGTCAAAAATTATCAGAATTTTGACAAAACGCGAGTGAAATTATTTCCTAYTTTCACGAGAAAACCATTTGATTACCTTTTAATATCGTGGGTGACAAATAACGTTCACAACCGTAATTGTTTTTACTGGTTTATTCTATCGAAAACCGAGAACATGAAGAAGAATATAGTTTTCGTTTAAAGCATACATTATTGTTAAAGTTCGTAATTTTCTG